GTGTGTGTGTGTGTGTGAGTGTGTGTGTGTGTGTGAGTGTGTGTGTGTGTGTGAGTGTGTGTGTGTGTGTGAGTGTGTGTGTGTGTGTGAGTGTGTGTGTGTGTGTGAGTGTGTGTGTGTGTGTGTGTGTGTGAGAGTGAGAGTGAGTGCGTGAGTGTGTGAGGTGATCGAGAGGTCACCGTGTCAGCGCTCATGACTGAGTCCTTTTAAACAGTCAAACAAAGACACACTGACTTCAGAACAGTTGTTTTTGCTTTGCTTTTTCCAAACACGTTAAAGACTCGACCGGACATGTGCTGCTCTAATCATCACACCTTAAACCTATGATGACTTTCAGATACATATCTACATTATTCAATATATTATTTATATTTTTATATCAAGTACTGCAGGTAGAACAAATTATTGTCTGTTTGTTTTATATGTTTATTTAACTTAATATATGCATATATGCACAGTTTATTTTTATTTTCCTATTTTGGATTTTTCATATTTAATGTAATTTATATTACACACACACACACACACACACACACACACACACATACACAATTTTAAAAGTATTTTATATTATTTTTTTTATTTTTCATATTAATATAATATTTATATTTAATAATATATGCATATTTAATGGCATATTATTTTAAATATAATAATATTTGATTTTAATGTAGTATTTTTAATTATCTTTATCTTTATCTGAACAAATGTATTTGTTTTGTTTTTTAAATTATATGCATCTATATACATTTTTGTAAGTGTATTTTTATTTTCACATTTTTGATGTTTCATATTTATATAATATTTCTATTCTAATATGTAATAATATATGCATATTTAATTGCATATTATCTTATATATAATTATGTTTAATTTGAATGTAGTAATTTTGATTAACTTTAAATTTAATTTAATTTAGTTGATATATATATAACTATAATTTAAAGTAAATATGTGTGTGTGTTTATATATATAGAGAGAGACTTTCACTACTAAAAAGTTAATAAAGTAAAAAATAAAGTAACAATCTATTTTATATACCATAATTTAAAGAAAATATATTTATGTGTGTGTTTATATATACAGATAAACATCAATGACATCCTAAAAACAATCAGCTCTGACGTGAATCCAAACTCCTTTAGTGATTAAAACTAGACGGATGGGTCACCGGTTACTATTTGTGTGTTTACTGCATTTACTGCACATTTTTCTCTCTGAAATAATGTTACATGATCGCTTGCCTTCAGTGATTATATTGAGCGTCTGTCAGGTGGATTTACCTGGTTCAGAGGGCGGGTACGACGTGATGGGCGTGTCTTGCTCATCCTGTGATGTCACAGAGGAGGGCGTGGCACTGTGGGATGATTGACAGGTGTCCGTCGGGCTCAGAGTGAGGCTGAGACCTCGAGCTGCTGAACGCATTCGCTCTCGCTCGAACTCCTCTGCCGCCAGTCGCTCGGCCGTCCGAAACCTGACACACACATTCATCAAACACACTGAGTCTCGTCTGGTCTGCTTCCTCCTCTTTTCTCAGCCGAGGCTCTCATTCGTTCTGAAGGCTGCATTCTCATGCAGCGTGTTTTCAGTCAAACGGGACGGGAATGTTTGGAGGCGAGAGGAGGAGGAAAAATGTGTTTGGATTTGAGGAAAAGTGGGTTAAAAAAAGGTTGAGGAGGGAAATCACACACACACACACACACACACACGCACACGCACACGCACACACTCACGCACACGCACACGCACACACACTCTCTGTCTCTCTCTCTCTCACTCTCTCTGTCTCTCTCTCTCACTCTCTCTCTCTCTCTCTCTCACTCTCTCT